CCATTTTACAGATGAAAAAACTGAAGTCCCAGTTAATTAATTTGCCTAAGATTACCCTCAGTAAGAGGTAAACCAAGATTAAAACCCAGGCATCTTTGACTTTAACCAGTGTTTTTAATCACTTCTGTACTACTGACTAAATAAGCATGTACCAGAATTAAGGAACAAATATAGTTCAGCTCACTTTTTCTTGGTTTTTGGTTTATGACATTATTGTTTTAGCCAGAGAGCACAGACTAGCATCTGTTGTGGTGTCATCCATGAAGCCTGAGTTTAAAATCAGGGTATGAACTACTCTAAGTATAAAGTTTGAATGTGCTTTTAAGGTTTATTTAAGAAAAGAATTGGGATTTGTTTGAATTTTGACCACCAGAATGTACATTTTTGCATTTGAAGAGATGACAGAGATCAGTTCAGACAGAAATAAAGTTTTGATTCAGCAAATTAACATCTGGATCCACATTTGCATATACACTTTCTTTTCTGTGTATTTTTTGTTACATTTTTAGAGGTAAGTGGTGATTCTCCCCACACTTCCAAGCTGCTTCCATCAGTAATGAAATACTTGGCTTGGCCTTTCTCTGGAGTCCCGGTGTTTCAGCTTAAACTTTCCACTCGGCCTTGCCAGGCACTAACTTTAAAATATCTTTTTTTTAAAATAGAGAACGCCTCCAAAGGTGCAGCTGTGTGCTGGTTTCATCTTGCACTTCATAGCGGTATTGGCACCACTTAGTGCAAAGAATGCCACTGTCTCCCACACGCTGTTGGTGCCCAGGACTGTTGAGGCCTGTCCATGTTAGTGGTTTGGGAAGGGCTTTAGTTTGGATAGAAGGCTCTTTTCTGATTCATGTGATTGGTTGTCACCAGGGCAAGGCGGGGGGCGGGGGGAGTGGGGTGATAGAGTGAGTTGAGAATGCAGCCTCTGGTGTGTCATCAACAATTATTTCTACAACCTGGGATTCCTGGCTCATCCGTGTTCTTGTCAATGTTGAGGGCTGATTGATTGATTCTTTTGAAATAACGCATGTCTTGGATTCACCACTTTCAGACCTTTGGGCTCTTCTTTCCTTGTTTCTTTCTCCTTGTGCAATACCGACTTCTTTTGATGAAAAATGATGCAAGTAAATGAAAAACTGAGGTTGGATTGCCCTAGAGGAATCTACAAATGCATCCCGATTCTGAAGAGTTACCTTGGTTCTCTAGACTTAGACAGTATGCTGTAGCACTCTTCAAAACCAAAATGCATTGCTTGCTCAGGTATAAAAAAATCTTTCCAGAAGATGAAACGTAACGTGACTTTATTTGTAAACTTCAGAAAGATCATGCGCTGTTTATATGAGTTTTGCTTGATAACCCCACCATGTAAGTCATATTTTTTTAAGTCATTGTTTTTGGGCCCATTATGCTTTGGTTTATCAAACTGCTGGATGTGATGCTTCATACAGACTTGTGAAAGAACAAGTTATCAAATTTGGCTAATCCCTATTTCCTATTGAAATCTCTGACAATGAAATCTGTTAAAAAATAGAAACCCCACATATGTAGTGGAATTACAGGAATAGTTGATTTTAGGACTGTTGTAAAAATTAATATTTTTGTTTTATGGTACTTTTTAGAGTTTCAGTAGTAATTTTCCTGTTGCCTGAGATAGGTGATACTTGAAAACTTTTTGGGTAGGGTTGCCACATTCCCTGTGTCTATTTCAAAAAGGAAATAGATTGAATCACAGACCTTGTACTACAGAATAGGAAATCCTAGAATTGTTTGGGTTTTTTTTTTAATTATCTCTCCATGTAAGTTTTTACGTCTTAAAACTCCATTGCACCAAAATAAAAATACTCCTATTGCAAAATCTCGATCAGCTGTAATGATTCATACCTTCGAGTCTTCCTAGCATTAAAAATTCAGTGGGAAATTCATTTAATACCTTAAAAAGGAGAATTTATACTTCCTTCTATATGTGTATAGAAAATAATCTGGTATGCATTTTTTAGAAAAGGTGTATTATACTTACTGATAACCTGGTAGTCATCACAATGATTTTCACAAACTTAATCGAACTCAAGTGTGATTAAAACAAATGAGATTTTGTAGCTCAGGATAACTATGGGTAAACTAAATGTGTTTGCCAAAGAAACATGAGAAAAGCAAAGGAAAGTGGGAAGGTTTGGCTTTTTAAATTTTTCTCATGGGCTGGTGGAGTGGCTCAAGTGGTAGAGCACCTGCCTAGCAAGCAGGAGAGACCCTATGTTCAAACCCCAGTACTGCCAAAAACAAAAAAAAAATTTTTTTTCAGCTGAAGCGAAGAAAGAGAGAGATGCCTGCCCTTCTGTATTTTGCATTTGCCAACCCAGCAATATAAGAACTGTTGGGTGCATATTTCAATCACAATTAGATGAAATCTTTAATTATCATTTAATTTAACTTTCATATTTGCCTGCAGAAATGATCGTGCTGATAAGATTCTGGAAGGAGATAAACCTTTATTAAGCAATTCTATTTTCAGTGCCAGGGCTGAAGGTTTTTTTTTTTTTAAACTTAAAAAAAGTGTGTTATTTATGAGGAAAAGGGAAGAAGAACTGGCATGTTGCATGAGTGTTGTGTGAGTATGTGTATTCGTGTGTTTAATATTTAGTCTTAAGTTTTTTGAGTTTGGGGGTATGCTAAGATGTATTGGTTTGAGAGGGCAAAGGAGAGCCTGGACTGACTCGTAGGTGATAGCATAGCTCTACACCATTTCTCTACCTTTAAATTTCCTGTCTTTTTCATATGCTTACAAGATAATGTTCATTTTGTCCAGTGTAGAAGGACTTTGTTGGAGAGGATACTTTCTGTGAGCTGAAAATCTAAGGCAAATGAAATGATGCGTCCTTCCTTTTTATTTTATAGTATCTTTAATTAAATATTGGGAATCTTTAAAACATTTGTATTTTAAGTGCTTTTCCAATAAATGCACATTTTAACTTAGAGACTTGGAGATATTATTGCTGGATCTGTTCAGGGGAATCATCCACATGGATTTTCTTATCAAAGTAGTGAATCCCAAAACTTATTACTAACTCCAAAGAGATTTTTACCTTGACATTTGATTCTGATGGTGAAGTTCCCATCTAGCTCATTGAACAGAGGTTGTCTGGAGAGTTAGTTGCCTGTCTGCTTTGCCTTTATGAAGCTGAAGAGGTGTAAGTGTGATGTTGCCTTAGAACAGAGACATCCAGGAAACTGAATGGTGAACTTTGAAGGACCTTGAGTGCTAACATCCATTAGCCCTAAGTGAGAATGCCCTGGTGTCAGAAATGGCTTCTCAGTGGGGTCTTTGTTATACAAAGTGATTCAGGGATCTTGCACAGACCATCGGTACTGCGCTCTGCAATACTGTGGTCAGTAGCTGCATGTAGTTATTTCAATGTGCATCAATTAAAATAAAAATTCATTTGTAATGACTGCATTTTAAGTATTCAGCAGTCACTGTGGCTAGTAGTTGCTTCATTGGAGATCACAGCTATAGAAACATTTCCATCATCACCGAAAGTTTTATTGGAAGGTGCTGAGATAGGATTTTCCTTCATAATTTAGCTCTATCCTAGGTAGTTGAAATGGCGCATATAGTTAGGTGACAAACCACAAGTATCCATCTGTTAGGTACATTGCCCTCTGCAAGGGTCTTAGGGTTTACAAAATGGCTTACATAAATTATATTTAGTTCTCTGAGGTCAAAATTTAATAGCACAACTTTATTATTGTATTGTGAGTCTGTTGCTTTTCGATGTTGACTCTTAGTACTTGAAATACAGACCTAATTAGAAATGTGCTTAGCATAGCATAAGGCTTACAGTGGAATTACCAAACTCTCACTGAAACAAAGCGGGGCTCTTGAGTCTTGCTTAGATTGTATGAGCTGTCTATTCCTAGGAAAGAGTGAAAGTGATGGATCTTAAGTATCTACAGCTATGAATGACTAACAAATTGGTTGCACATACAGATATTTTCACAAAGTCTCCCATTTACCTGTATTTATAGTTTGAGAAATTTGAGATGAATATATTTAGCTCCCTCTTCTGGCATATTTTGAGAAAAAATATTTTTACTTAAAATAGTTTCTTTTGTTTTTGTTTTTTTTTTTTTTTTGAAAGAGAATATAGTTATCAATGCAGTGTTGAAGGAGGTTGTGAATGTCATCCAGTTGGATTTTTTTGTATCATTACAATTGGTAAAAATACAAATAAAGCATGGAAAAATAATTTCCAAAAACATCATATTATTTAATCTTCTAATGGCTAAAAATACATGTAAGCAAGTAAAGATTTTTTTTAACCATTACACAGTGTGTTAATTTAAAGTCAGAAGGGCAGTGGTCATTTGTATTTTTTTTACAGTCACTCCTGGTATTTGGGGGGTGTGGGGGCAAGAGTACAAAAGGAAACCCAAGTCATTGGAGTCTAAATATTTTAGTTATATATCATGTTAATAAACTGTTCAATAAAAATCTGTAACCTGTATTAGTCTCTGTCTTACCTGTGCAGTGATTCTTTCCTAATAATCAAGAGGCCAGATTTGAATTCAGATTTCTTGCCTCCTCAGGGTGGTTTAAGGTGAGAATTGTGCCTGGGTTTGTCCCTCACTTCTCCTTGGACATCAAAAAGCTCCAGTCCAGCCTGAGCCCCTCCTGCCCAGGCTCAGCCCACCTCTGGACTCCTGTGCACCTGGACAGGGAGGTCTGCCCTGAAGAGGACAGCCCTAGAGGAGAGGCCATAGAGGCCATCGGTGGGGAGTTGTGGGACTCTGGATAGGCACTCAGAGGAGCGTCCTAGGAGAGAAAAAGCAGGCATGTCCCCTTAGCCCGAAAAGTGTACAGCCTGGTGTAATGATTCCTCTTGCTTGGGCCTGAGTTTGCTTCTGTCAGATGTGTTTGAATTGTTTTGTATTTAAACATTCCTCACTGGTCTAATGCATTGATTGCCCCAAATGAAATCTAATGGTGGGGTTTTGTTTCTTTGCAGCTTTGACACTTCCGGATCTGGCAGAGCAGTTTGCCCCTCCTGACATTGCCCCACCCCTCCTTATCAAGCTCGTGGAAGCCATTGAAAAGAAAGGTAACCAGACTACTAGAGGAATCACTTCATTTGTTAAACCCTTTTTTATTTCATGGCAGTTATAATTTTTATTTGTCTCTGAGACATTCATTAAATAAATGTCTTATTACCCACCATGTACAGAACCTGTGCTAGACGTACCAGTGATTTGGGTCTTTGTACTTAGGAAATAATCTTGACCAGTGATTTCTAATAATAGATTAACTTGTAGTTACTATATGGAAACTATTAAATTCTCCATCATTGAGTAAATATGATAAACTTGCTTTCTAGCGGCCAGCTGATTTTGCCAAAATTATTTACATGCCAGATAAGATTAATAGTAGGAGTTAACTTCCAAGAATATTTGGTTCACATCTAGAATAGATAATGATGGAAACTGGAATGTCTCCCTGGCAGCAGGCTCACAGGTTCTCCAGAGAGCTGTGTTTTGCATACACACTCTGTTTTGTGTCCTAGGTCTGGAATGTTCGACTCTATACAGAACCCAGAGCTCCAGCAACCCTGCCGAATTACGACAGCTTCTTGATTGTGGTGAGTATCATACAGCCCTAAGTACACAGGGAAAAGACTGAAGTTACCTTTCTGATTCTGCTAATGCATACACACACACACACACACACACACACACACACACACACGGAATTTAATCCATGCAACATTCTAAGTTTGAAGGGAACTACAGATCATGATGGTTCCCTTTGCCCCGTTATGTTAGTGACACAAACCTTTGATGTTTGTGTCTTGAGTTAGAGTGTGAATGCACATCCAGGAGCCCACAAAGCTGCAGGAATTATAGAGAGAAGCAACCTCTTGGGATTTCTCTGGCTCTGTAGAGCTGCCATGGTTCCTTAGCCCTGCTGTTGGTCACATCTGGATCGGCTAAAAAATATTTATAAGCCTATATCATGTACCAATAAATGTAGAACAATAGTAATTGAAGGTCTTTTCTGATACCCTGTTCCTTTCATTTCCTTTTTTCCTTTCCTCCTGTCATGCTTTCCTCATTTCTTGCCTGATTGCTTTTTCATGTCATATATATACAAAGTAACATCATGATATTGTTTTGTTAAGTAGTGTGCTGATAAACCAACTCTGGAAAGAAAAACCCCTAGTGTGTAGCATTTGCCCATTTCAGTGGTGTAAATATCCCCACCATGGTGGATTTCAAGCTAAACAACATGATGTAACTGAAAGTAGAGCTGGAGAAAATTAAAAATAATTGGCTCCTCTGAGCCAGTCTGAGCTAGATCTAGCACATCATTGGCTAAGTGATACTAATTAATTCAGCAGAGTGGTGACGTTGTATTGTTCCTCCCCTGCTTTTTTCACACAGAGAAAAAAAAAGTGCAAGTCAGTTTACTTGCCATCAGTTCAGCAAATCATCTTCTCACGTCATTGTACTTTTTGTTGTTGAAAAACAATTTTCTGCCTCACATCATTTTAACTGAATTTGGATAGTTGTTATTCCAGTTCTAGAAGAATGTCCTTCAGAAGGCTAATTGTATGGGAACACCCACATGATATTTAGTGAGAATCTGAACTGTGAGGCACCTTCAAAATTAGGCAATTTAGGACAAAGTTCATGAAAATTTCTTGGAGAAAAGAATGAAACTAGATCTTTATTAATAAATGCTTTCATTGGAAATGTACTACCCAAATGTTTTTAAACTAAAAACAAATATTTTTTAAAGTTCATTTTCCCTTTGTATGTGGAAATTAGTCTTAAAATACAAGGTATATCTTCTTTGCTGTTGTATCTTCTGCACTTCTCTCAGAGTAGGTCGTAAGAAGTTGACTGTCAGAAAATTCAAGATGGAAAGGCTTGTTTTTATGTATTTCTAACAGTGTTACCAGGGTGCTAAGGAAACACTGAATTTTTCTTTAGCCAATTGAAATAAGAGATACATGTTCTGGTCTGAAAATTGCTCAAATTTAACATGTTAAAATGACAGGAAATGTTTAAACATCAGAAACCAATGAAATGGAAGTAGTGGTTAGGTTTTTAACATGACCAATACAAAATGATGCAGGTTAGCTTAAAAAAAAATTATTTTTTTTCACACCACCTGTGAGATGTAGTAAACAACCAAGATTCACGTCAACAGTATATTTTGACATACAACTTTCCTTCCCTATTGACATCAACACACACACACACACACACACACACACACACACACACACACACACGGGAGAGGGGAGAGATTTTTGGCAAAAAAAGTAAACATTGTCCTAACATGTGAGTATACGTGCCAAAACTGTTTCTAGCTTCTAGATTTTCAACATATAAAAGTATAATATCCTGGAAGACATTCTAAGACAAGTCACTTACACCTGAAAAAAAATCATATCTTTGAATCAGCCTTGCGAATTTCTAGTTTCTAAAAAGGACAAATGTAGGGGACAACACACCTACCACATTATTTTATTTCATTCACACATTAACCTTATAAGGTTTAGCTACTTTAACTACTCAGAAAAGGAAGTTGACCCTCCTTTTTAGTAGCTGAGTGGAGTGCTGTGACTTGTATCCACATTCTTCTGACTCCAAAGAAATGTCT